TGATAGGATTGTAAAGACGAAATCTAATGATCAGCTCCACAGCAAGTCAGCGTAACCAGGAACACAGCCTTGTGGAGTGCAAAACAATTATTTGGCGAAAAGTGTGTGACTTTGAGAAGGTAAAACGAATGACGAGAGCATGCTGCTAATTAAAAAGAAACCCACATCAGGCATTCTCGACATTGTGCAGAAATCGTGCTGATGGGTTCAAATCAATGAGAAATATTCAGTGTACTCTGGTTCTTCATCCTTTTCTCTCAGAACTGACTAAGTCTGTTGGCCAACAAATGAAGTTAATACAAAAGGGAGATTCACTTTGGAAGAGTTTAGGGATGAACTTCATGTTCTTTGCTGTATCCTTTAAAAGAAGAAAGGAAAAGTTTGGATCCAGGTTGATCCATATAATCCCTGTTGATTTCAATGGGCCTACTTTAATTTAGGAAAATGTAGAGCTATCTAATCCAGTCTTCCCTAACCCAAGAAATCTCCAGATGTTTCAGTTGGAAGAGAAATGAAGTCAGGTTCCCAAATTGGGGGAGACAGATCTAATTTGTATCAGTAGTTGGTTGTTGAAAAAATTCAAAAGAAAATTCATTACTGTGGAATTTGAAGTGGTATTTCACTTTCCGTTCACAGTTTTCCTAACGTGTGGATTTTATAAATAAAAGCTATAAGCAATGCATTTTTTTAAAATCCCATTTTTCTAGGTAGCTTTCCAAAATAATATATTGTTTAGGGAGATGTATCTTTGAGGTGGACACTAGCTGATGTGGGGAATTAAGTTCTTGTGGTGGATTCCATTCTGACATATCCATTGTTAAACTGGAAATTCAGAAGGGTGCATTGCAACCCACCACCAAATGGTTTGGATAAAGTGTGGTCTATAAATATCTATAAAAATAGGTAAATAAATAAAATAAGCTGAATGGAAGATGTTGGTGCAGTCAGATATCCTGAAAGTTTGGAAGTCATACTCCTATTTCGACAACGCTGCTACCATCTCTTTTCTGAGTTTTCAGATTTGGGTTCTTCTGATTTCAGAACTTCTGGTTCATTAGGAGAAGGTTGCAGATTAGAAGAGGAAAAGTGGGTGGATTTCTTCCGAATCAAGACATTTGCATGCTAGAAAAAAGTCTACCCACCAGAAGACTTTTAAAGGACTTATTTTTAATGAAAGGAAAACATAGAAAGAATTTCTTTTTATAGTCATAGACAATTTCTCCAGTAACAAACCTTTGAGTGCAAGCAGACTTCTCCACAGCATCAACAGAGAGATTTTTAGCAGTTCCTCTAATGGGCTTCTAATTGTTTGTTTCAGTCTTCTCCTGTTCAGCTATAAGGAGCTATGCAAATTATGGCTCAAAACAGAAATGTAATTGGGATATACAGTGTGTGTGTGTAATATTCCAATTTTCTGTCTGAGATTGTTGTATGGCACAAACATACCCAGGTTTCTTTTATAGGCAGTTGTGTGCAATTGGGTGAGCTAAAACACACGTTTATATTTACATAACGTTGTTTTTTGGGATCTGGGTAGGACTTCAGTGAGGGGGATATTGAATTCCATGGACTGGCATCTGGTATAATCCTTAGTGATGTCTCATACTCCGTGACATCATCATGTAATTTGTGTCGGTTGCACATAGAAATGTGACAGGGGCAGATTACACAAATTGCATTATGTTTGCAGTGACACTGTGATACATTTGACATCGCTTGCTCCTGCAGACATCCAGGTTCTAAAGCAGCAAGTTAGTGCTAATGGAAAAATAAATTAGCCTCTGGCTGGTTGCTCATGTTTTACTCTTTCTTTTTAATTTGCAAGTATTGGACAGACTATTACCTACAGTGGAACATGTCTGAGTACCCTGGAGTGAAGAACGTTCGCTTTCCTGCTGGACAGATCTGGAAGCCAGACATCCTTCTATATAACAGGTAGGATTACGTGACACTAAAACAACTGTAGTTGTTCGCATGTAAAGGAGATGGATGCCTTAGGTTTTTTTAACATCACACCCCAAAGTTGCATTCATTGGTGCTTCCCTTCCTTTTAGAAGCACGTGTTCATTTTATTTTTACTATTTAAAAACACAGATGTGTTTGGTGTTACGTTTTTGGGTTTATGTTTATCTCTTGTTTGATGGCTCCCCAACCCTCCCACCCCACCCCAAGAACCACTCTTGGTTCAGGAATTTTGCCCTTGAATAGTTTCAATCGATGTGTTTATCTCCATCTGTATCGATCTATCTATCTCTCATCTATCTATCTGTCTGTCTGTCTGACTGTCTGTCAGTCTGTCCATCTGTCCATCCGTCCATCCGTCCATCCATCCATCCATCCATCCATCCATCCTACATTCCATCTTTCTGTTTGGAATGTACCTTCAGGGCAACAAAGAAATACAAAA